CTGCATGAATACTTCACGCATTACGTCAAGCTTAGTGCGTGGTGCAGCAGTCGGCGTGAAACGCATAGCGCATATCTAGGAATACTTCACGCATTGCGCCAAACAGGGTGCGGCGGCGGAAGTTAAAATTATTGAAGCACATTTATGTTTGCGCTTTCATAATATTTTCGTTCATTTCTTGTAAATCGAAGGCCTTGTCCACACAGAGATAGGTTTACGAAACTTAACTTTCGCGCCAAGTCACGTGAATTTTTGCTAGTAGTGTTGACAGGGCTTTCGCGGAAAATGTGTCCAATACGAGTAAACGCGTCTTATGCACCCCTCCCCCTCCGGCACGTTCACTTGGTGGTTTTTATTGATGTTTCAAAACGATTGAGAAGGGGGCGGAAAAATACAGGCGGCCCATGGGCGGCAAGCAAGTCAGTCCGGCCCTGGACTGCGATGGCTGCGGCACTAACTTTATGACATTCAAAGATCATTGAACAGAATGAATCTTGATTTTTCCCCTCTCCACAACTCCAAATTTCTGGTTAAGTAAGTAATAAATCAAATCGCCCTTCTTTCTTCTGCCGTCAAAAAATGAAAAATATCATCAACTTTCGGATAACTCAAACCGACGTCAGTTCTTATGATCGATTACTTCAGATAATTAAATCGAAAAATGTTTTATTCCACATGAACCCAAGTTTTTTCAGTGCTCTTAAATTCTTTTCCCCCTAACTTCAATACAAATGCGATGAAGAAAATAAAAAGATTTAATAGTAAGTGAGAATATCATTGATCCACTTTTGTTTTTCGTTGGCGACGGCGATGGACTTGCGATTATTCCCTGACGAGCCTCTATACATTTCGTTGATCGAAACTTTAAAATCGAGGATCATAGTCGCCCGGACCACACTTTCTCGTCCACAAATTCTGTCGGACAAAAGGAAGGCTCCGTTTGAATGCTGCCAAAATTCCGATTAAATTATTGTATTTGAGGAAAGCTATGCATGTTTTCCCTTGAAATTTTCCGATGGTTTACATCAAATTTCAAATAAAATTCTCTGACAAGTTGGGAAGGGGGCGATATCGTTCCAAAGGTTCTCCTGGAATTTGTGCTTTATCAATAGAAATTTGGTAGCGTCCGATAGTAGGACGCATTTGAATCAATAAAAGGAACCATACTCATTCTGACATGAGCCCTGAAATCCATAAGAGTGCATGCATGACAGGGCACACGCTACAATGGATGTGTTTCCTTTTCATTTAAATACGTCCAATTTATACGACGTTTTTCTTTGGCGTTGTGCAGAATAGCGGCTCCGCTTGCGCCCACATGGTCGTTGCTTTTCATAAAACACCTCCTACCTTGAACACGAGGCATGTCAGACATGAAGCGAGAAACCTATGGAAACAATAACTTATGCAGTTTTTCTCATTCTTGGGCTTTCCGTTGCGTTGGAGATATCACCATTCCTCTGACATAAAGTTGTAACTCTATTTTAACATGAGCTCTAGAAATTATAGCGTATAATGACGCCAGGATTCACCCAAAAAATCAGCTACACTCTTACATCACAGAAGCGATGAATAAGTGGGAGAACTCTTCCCTACCGTACTGACTGCCGTGCTAAGGAAGAACGCCGTATGAACATTCGAGAGTTGCTAAATCTCCTTTAATAAAATGTTTATTTTTGAGGAAATTTATGAATCTTTTTCCTTTTTTTAGAATCTATAGGTAAAATTGTGGACTAAATTATCTGAAAAATTGGGAGGAAAATATTCATAAGTTTACTAGGAAATTCGGGTTATATCACAAGAAATTTGGCAACGCCTGAAGACTCATACGGCGTTTTTCCTTAGCATGGAAGCGCAGGGCCGTAGGGACAAAAATGGGGTGGAACTGTGCAGTTCTCAGCTCAGAACGGGCTTGTTTTGAACTTTCGCCGGAGAGAAGGGAGGAATTGGCTTTAACATGTTTCAAAACTTACGATGAGTGCGTCGGGAAAGCCTAAAATTCACTCTTAACCTCACAATTTGTAGCGCAGAAATGTAGCGCAAATAATATCGGGTTCGTTCGGTTGAAATCTAATATTATATTTATCATGAGGGTAATTGTGATTCATGTGAAAGTTAAAATGATTAGGAGATCAGCTTGAACTTAAATTACAATTTAGGTGTCTCCAAAGTATGAAAAAAGTTGGATTATACACCAAATATACTGCAAGTTTCTCGTCTATTGAATATGTACGAGAAATGGCAAATGCTTTATCGATTAATGAATTCAAAAATAAAACTTTAAGTATGGGCGGGAGCTCAGATCCACGCGTATCGTAAGTTAGATGGAGAATTCAATTTTAATATTTGGCACAACCAAGAGGAAAAGAAAAAATAAAAAAAAAAATTGCTGCGCTGCATATTGAATAACAATTCAAAGGATGGTACTCAGTAAAAGTGCAATGACGAATAATCTAAACTTCCCTCTGATGACGGCGCAAGCCGAATGGCCTCAGGGATGAAATAAGTAATAAAAAATTCGAAGCATAATGATCACAGATTAAATTCTTTTCATTACTTTCAATTATATCTTATTTGTATATTTGCTGCTTCTCCGAGCATGTTTAAATACATAGACTTTTCGTTTAAAATCAGTTGTATTTAGAGTCAGTCATGTCAGGTTCAGTTATTTCGCGTTTCTTCCTCTCCTCATTTTCTTTCCATCCCGCGAAAACTCCCTTCAAAAAGATTCTTTGTGATGTTAAAAATCACATCAGCTCACTGGTTCGGGTTGGCTCTTTAGATGAGCCTCGAAGTTGATTCCGATGAGATGAGTTGTTGATTTTCCCTCTAACTAAAGCAAATACTCCAACACATCTTCGAGACGGGCCAACGTCGAAGCCAGCTGCACCCTTCCGAGATGCAGTTTCACGCGCGGGTGCAGTATTCTGCCTTGCCGCATGGAACCATGATGCCATGAACTTTCGGGCATTGTCGAATTTCATCTGATAAAGCGCGATTTTTCAGGAACAATTTTTGATTTTTCTACTTAAATTTTTGAGGGAATTTTATTCGTAATGTAAATACATAGCCTGTGAAAACTTCACGGAAAAATATCAATAACTTTCCTTGAACTCAAATATTTTATCGACATGCATTTTGCAATATTCGAATTTTCATACGGAGTTTCTCCGTAGCGCGACAGTGCGGTATTGTAAATACGGTGGATGATTAAGGGGGGGGGGGTTGGAGTGGAGTAATCCCGGAAGAGTACCCGATCCATTTCGCGTGCCCTTCACTCATTCTCGATTGTGCATGATTTTTCGTCCATTCACGTGAGAATGATATCATTTCTCTCTCATATTTCCCCCATTTTCGCAACGATGTATTAGCTCCCGGTGAGGAACAAAAGTCATTCTGCCCTATTGAGGTTACCGTGAAGCTCGAACCATTTTCCCATATTTATTTCGCGGTGAAATTCATCAGGGCATCATTTTCTACCTGTTTTCTGTCATTTTTATGATCAGAAATTCAGGTCAAGCTTTCATCTTTCAAAGGTAGCTAGCTTATTCTGTGGATTCGTCTTTTAGAACTTTAAAATTATGGTTTGAAATCATACTGTAAAGGTGTTTTCCACCGCCAAGTGATCAAGATAATCATTAAAAATTTGTATGACTGTTTTAAGCTCACTGTCAGTTGTGTGTAGGTTCCAGCTATGAAATACCTTACACTTTAATTTTTTTACTTTGGACACTAAAATGATGGAATATAAATCATAAGTGATGATACCAATACATTGTATTAGTTAAAGGATCATTATAATCGAGATGATTGCAAGGCAGGTACATCTTTTGAGAATGATCCACTCTTAATATAGGTATGTCTATCATTATTGGAACACAAAACGAATGGAAAAATCACCGGAGGTATGTAACGGATACACAATGCACATGCGCTTTTGAAACCTTCCGGCTATAAAATAATAATTAATAATATTAAATACATCACATTTCCCACAATCTAAACAATTTCTAGAAAAATAATGTTTGTTGCATTCTAGACGTCTGATCTTTCAACCGCCGACGAAGAAGCTTTGGTAGCAGTGGCGCGTACTTTGCGATATATCGATTAATCTGCCATCTAAACCTATGGAAAAGGATCGATAAACAGGGTTTTCGCAACAAACACCTCAATAATCGATTCTTCACCACAGCTTGGAATGGGGAAATATCGATAATCGATCATTCACGCCTCGCCACTGTTTGGCAGGGTAGAAGTGCGGAGCCACGGGCGTGCAGCTGAACACGTCGAGCAACTATTTTAACACCCCGGAGCGCATATTGCATAACAGCTTGAATGCAGGCGCACTCATCACATCGTCTATATTCGTCGTCCTAACATCGTACGCCCGTAGATAGAATAAAACAAACATTTGTTTGCGGACAATCGCAATAGTCAAAAGTTGCAACACATTCATCCATCTTTTGAATCATCAATCTTCATCCTCAGAAATAATTGGTAACGGTACATTTTTTATAACTAGACAAATGGGATACGCCCCCGACCGCTTTGCAGTCCGACCCCGGGACCGCTCAGCCCCTCAGGCGCTATGCATTACCCGTTACTCTTATGATTTTATATTATGGAGTAAGATGTGTCCTCTACTTTTTGTTTCAAATTTTGAGCACAACACGGAAAAAAAAGTGTCAGGGGTTACCCCCCAAAATTGCTCTACTACCCAAATTTGTTGGATGATATGAACAATTCTAATTAATTTTGGTAGCACCGCAACTCAAATTGGGGTAGTACCGTAACATTTGGGTCAGTAACCTAAGTTATCGGGATACTACCACAATTAATTGGGATACTACCATAATTAATCGGGATATTGCCACAATTAATTGGGAATGTCCATATCATCTAACAGTTGGCACTGAACCCCTACCTCTTTTTTTCAGTGAAGTAGAACCTGTTAAATAATACGTCAAATTAATATAATATAAACTTATTTATGATTGCAGGTGACAGCCAATTGAGCGACAATGCACCTCCTGTGATCCTGCTAGAGAGGAGGTGGAGCATACCGGACAATGAGAAGATCGGAACCGTGGTCACCAAAGTCCGAGGTGACGATTCGGACGGCGACATCTTGGAATATGGACTCGAGAAGCATTTCGGGGATCGAAACCAGAAACCCTTACCGTTCGCTATCGATAATGAAACCGGTGTCATCACCGTCAACCAAACACTACAAGATAGGGTAAGTTGCAAAATTCACCTCCGTCGCTTAAAAACGCCAATACCTAGTCTATATAAGCGGATCCAGCAATTTGGCAGCACCGGATTTCCTCCATTTAAACCTATGTTAAATAATCGATTCTTGTCGGCGTACTTGGCTCCTCCGGGAATCGATACATTTCCATAGGTTTAAATACAACAATCTTACAACATAAGAGACAAAACAAGACAAAACAAGGGGAGATAAAACAATTTTGCCAATTCGCAGGATCCGTCAATGCTAATCTGGATGTCTCTTTGAGGAATGACCTGGGAACGAAACACAACATCTGGCTTTTAAAATTAAAAATAAAAATTCTCCACCTAAACTTTTGAAGATCACTACACAGGAAAGACATGATTAGGCATCCCTTATTTGAGGAGAAAGTATTGGATTGCAAGGAGGTATCAGGTGCTTCCCAGGCTGCTACGAGACCCAACCCCATAGGGGCGCTTCCCACCCGTAGCCCATATTGGGCCGCTTCCCTGATCACATTTTTAAAAGATGAAAGAGAAAAGGGCGCATCATTAAATAACCTTCAGGTTAATACCCACCAATAGCCGCAAAAAACGTGGAAATTGTCCCAGTAGATTTTTTGGGCGAAATATGCCAAACAATGAAAATCCAAATTGTTAAAATAGGAAAATTCACAATTTCAATCGCAATTTTAATTTTAAATATTTAGCACAGGAATGGGCTAATTTTGAATTTCTTGGTATAGATGTGAGCCGAGGCAAAACTATACTTTCTTTCTGTATTCGATTCTGAATTTCACAATGGACGGCAGCTCCAACTTTTAAAGTCACGACCCCTATGAACCCCCGAGAGACTTCGGTGCCGTGAAATTTTGATTCTTCGGGGTCAATTTTCACTTTGACGGCGCAGTCTCCGACTTCATCCGGCCTGAAATGAAGTCTGCTATGGGTGGTCTTACACAGTGAGACACCCTGTATATAGGTATTTATGACGGTTATCGAGTCAGCGAGTCGAGTTCAGTTCTCCGTGTTGCCAACATCGTTGCTGCGTCACAAACTTGCGCATCATCCGCGTGCCTGTTCCCAGGTTATTTTAAATAACCGTTCATGTTAACCTTGAAAGCAGCAGATGACGTCTAAACCGCTTGCAACTCGAATATTCAACTCAATTTTACTATAGGTCGCCTATGGTGATTTTTTTTTAAGTCTTCTTTCGACGTAGAACATACCATCGCTCTGCTGAAGCTGGAACGTAACTATTTTTCAACATGAACCCTGTCTCCGGTATAACTCCGTGAAGTCCACGGCTCGTGTGAAAATGGGGTCCATTTCCACAGCCCCCCCCCCCCTTCGAATCTTAAACCAAAAATTATATCATAATTTTGTGCTAATTTTGTGTTATTTTGTGCCGCAAATTAAAAATTTTGTGCTGCAAAATTAAGGGGGGAAACGCTCCTCAAAATTGGGGGGGGCTGTAGAAACGGTAGCCCCCCCACTTTCGAATTTTCGAAAAAAAAGAATGCCATAATTTTGTGCTAATTTTGTGCTATTTTGTGCCGCAAGAAAAAAATTTTGTGCCGCAAAATTAAGGGGGGTAGCAGCATTCCAAATTGGGGGGGCTGTAGAAATGTTTGCCCCCTGTTTCGATTTCTCGGAAAAGGAGTATGCCATAATTTTGTACTAATTTTGTGCTATTTTGTGCCGTAGCAAGACTTTCAATTTTTT